CTGATCGATCTCTCTCATCGATGTTTCTAGCTCTCTGTCCCTCTCCCTTCTTCTCTGTAAAAAATCAATAAAATATTTTTAAAAAAAATCTGAACAATAAAGAATTAATTTTTAAAAAAAGAAAAAAAGGATTGATCCATACTGGGTAGATAAATCCCCTTATACCTCCCAGACACCCCAGTCATGCTTCTGAGTAATAGCAGACTTTAACTCTCTTGGAACATAGTCAGTTAAATAAAATGCCATGGGAAGCATAACTTTATTATAATAAAATCTGAATAGAGTATAAAAGAAGGCCTCAAAGTTTAGATGAAAATTTAAGTTGATTTTTGGAAGATCAAGAGAGAAAAGAACATTTCAACCAGAAGGAGGTAAACTGCCTCAAGGAAAACATAAAGGCGGTGAGAGAGTTTGGGGCAGTCAGATTCTCATAGTGGATTTCACATGTCTGGACTATAGCATCCAGGGGAAGAAGGGCCCCAGATGAGACTTCAGAGGTAAGCACAGGCCACAACACAAAGAGCCTCATATGAGATGTCGAGAACTTCATACTTTCTGGATAGCGTTTTAAAAAGCCTTTAACGAGTATTGTAACACATGATTGGGAAGATTAACCTGTGCATGGCATGGAATTTAGATTATAGGGGGAAATACAGAGCCTTGGAAACATGTTAGGAAACTGTCCAAAGGAAGTCACAAGAAGATGACAGATTAGACTGGGACAGGAAGTGAGGGTAGAAATGGGATGGAGGGAATGAATAGGCAATAGTACTTGGACAAAATGAGGATTTCATACTTTATGTAAAGCACCAATAGGGTGATGATTCTGTGAACTTCATAAAGAGTCATGGATAAAAGAAAAAGAAGGAAGAATTTCTCCTGCATATTTCTTCCTGCTGATTATATTTTTGTTCTGTATCGGTGTCCATTTTATTAATTTAAATTACACGGTGTCCTGCTCAGTTAGCTATTGGTGTTAATAAAACATTAACCTGCTATTGCATCCATCCTGTGTCAAGGCAGTGAGTCCAAAAGTTCATTCTTGCAGGCATAATAAAAATACAGGGTTCTCATGTGAGGGGAATAATTACAAGGACTATCTTAGGGGAATAATTACAATGGAATTATCTTTGTTCTGACAAAGAACAAAGGAAATTGAAAAGTTAGAAGTCAGAGGATGCACAACCTGCCTTACTAGAAGAAGGTCTTCTGTAAATTGAATAGGAGATGTAGCTAGTTGCAGACCACTCTACAATTAGAGTGCTGACCCAACTGACCGCACAAAAACCATCCAGACCATAAAGCCCCCTTGTCAAGTAGAATAGCCTGGAGATGCTCTGATCAGTACAGTGAAGGCTTTGGGGATCTGACCATGCTTTCGGAAGCCTTCTTCAAATGAAGGTTTATGAGTGGATATTTCAAGTGGGTGCTCTAGAGAATACAATTTTGAGTCAACAGGTGAGAAGTAAATGGTTTACTGAGCAGCAATTAGGGGCCAAAGTGAGAGTGGAAATTTGTTTGGGAGCAATAATTATCTAATTGTTTATTTGTCTGTTTGTTTGTCTGTTCATTAGTATTTGACCAGGGTTGGGGAAATTGGATTATGTATTAAAATGCAATGGGCCAATTGGTGGTTAAAAAATAAATTGATTGGTGCAGTGGAATGATTATTGTACAGTAAATACAAGAGGAAGTTAGAACTCAGTGATGTTAGTCAAAGTTCCCACAAGGATGCTAAAGGCAGAACAAAAAGTTCATTTTAATTTCCTAACAGCCAGAGCAAAAAGTAGCACAATTGTTCCAAAAACTAAAATCTGAATGATATTTCTCCTATGGTTTTTCAAAGAAGAATTGTGTTTTGAGGTCAAATATATATAAAGTGAAATTCATGTTTCTGCTTCTTTGATTCCCCACAATTCACTCCAAAACAGAAAGTCAAATTGGAGTTCTTGCAGAGCCAAATTCCTTAAGAAACAAAACAAATGGGGTTCAAGGGTACAGTCTGATGTAAATCAAACAACTAAGTCACTGAGATGTCAACTGGTTTTGCCATGTTTCTTTAATTGTTAATGAGATCTGAGAATATTCATTCAGAATCAGAATCTTTCCTTGCATCAAGGATATGTGTGTTTAGTGGGGGAAATATGGCTAAGA